ATCGCCGCGGCGGTAGGCGTCGAAGCGGCGGTGAACGGGCGAGGCGAGCGGTCAATCGCGGCGGCGAGAGCGAGGCAAGCCGCTTGTGGCGCGAGCGACTGTGCGAGCGACTTGGTGAGCCGAGGCAGGAGCGACCCGATGGACACCTCCACGTCGGCATCGGCAGCGCGCTCTAGGACCGCTACGATGGCGATGGCCGCCCCCTCCTGCATTGCGGCGTTTGGAGCGGAGAGGGCCGTGACAAGAGGCGAGAAGAGGACCGCCAGCCGCAGGCTCGCGACGGAGCCAAAAGCTGGCCCACCCTCAACCGGCGGGAACTGCGAGAGTGCTGCAGCTATCCGGCCAAGCGCAGCGGCGCAAGTCTCTCGCTGGCGAGCGTCGCCGCGTCCAATCTGCGCAACGATGGCGGTGACAATCTTGACTGCGTTCGGCAAACACTCCAACGGCGACGTCTCAAAGGCCTCGGCCAAAATGGAGACGGTCTCGCACGAGGCAACCACTCCCGGCGCCCTCCTCAGGTTCTTCAGGAGCGCGCTGAGGAGAGAGCTGAGGGAGCCGGCCTCGAGACATGCGCGGAGCTCGAGCGCGCCCTGCCGTTGCGTGCTGCGCGCGTCGAGCTTTTCGAGCGCCTTCGCCGTCTTGTACTCCATCCGACGCTGGGGCGAAGGCCTCGAAACGAAGGCCTCGAAAACGAAGGCCTCAAAAGACCAGAGGCCTCAAAAGACCAGTGTGGTGCGCCCAGGTTCTCGCGCGCAAAAATCCCTCGCCGCGCCCGCGGATTCTCGCTGCAACCTTCCTGCCACCTCTCGCGGTCGTCCCACACTGTCGTTCTCCCTCCTGTCGCGTCCTCCTCTGTCGCGTCGCTCTCCTCTGCCTCGTCCAGCGACGCCGCCGCCGCCTGCCGATCCCTTGGCCTTGCTCTCGCGGCTACCTTCTCCCTCCCGCCTTTCGGCGCAACTCTGCCCTCCTCTGGTGCTCTCCATTCTGGAAACTCGCGTTCCGACTCGCGAGTTTCCCTGAGTCTGAGAGCTGGTCTGCGTCTCTGGGGCAAAATCTGAGGCAAAATCGAGGAAACCGGCAACATACCACATTACCGGGTATTTTTCAGGTATATACCCGGGAGCCGGGTCTCCAGGTATACCCGCAAAATACCCGGTATTTTGCCGTTAATTTTGGCTGATTTTGGGCCCAAACCAGCCTCAGACTCGGCTCAGAGCCCGGAAAAGTTGATGGTTTCCCCGGGAAAATAGAGAGGAAAAGAGAGGGTGCTGTTAGAGAAAAAAGGAAAGGAAAAGAGACGGGTGCGAGAGGAAAAGTATAGTCAGCCATCTCTGACAGGTTTCGCTCATGCGTTTTTGTTTGTCCAGTCTGAGAGAGATTTTTGAAAACCAACAAGAAAACACGACTCTCACAGTGATTTATTTGGGCTCGGCAGCTTGTCAGCCCTCACTCACTCAGCCGAAGCTGGGGCCGTTCTCTCCTTCTGAGCACGGGCGTCAAACAAACGACTGCAGAGGCCCCTAGAGAGGCCCGCGGCGCTTACGGGGCTAACTTTACGCTAGAGCCTACGACGCACGATCGATCGGGCTCATCAATCACGTCATACTAGCACCCTCCCCGAGCTCAAGGAGAAGGGCGAGAGGGGGGACGACACTGCTCCAGCAGCGTGCACCTCGATCCTGTACCGTGTTTGTTATGACCCCACCCAATGAACACACCAGCGAGGGAGGGCGAGACGATCGAGGGGTCCCGTACCATGCGGAATCGATCCTATCTATCCAGTGCTCAAGTGCTCAAGAAGGGCGCGAGGCGCTCCTCCGGCAGCACCGCCGGCGTCGTCGGGTCAAACAGCTTTCTG